GATATAATAAAAATTGATCACTTGTGGCTAATTAATTAAGTAAAATTAAAACTATATTAAAAATATTATTAATTTAAAAAACTAAAAAATATAAAAAATATTAAACTCAAAGCCACAAAAAAATTAATGAAAAGTCGCGGATACGTATTTCGGAAACAATGTTACATTGCCCACCCCGTCGGGGTGTCAATATGTGTTTAGCGTTTTTAATGGTAACATTGTTTCCGAAATACGTATCCGCGACTTTTCATTAATTTTTTTGTGGCTTTGAGTTTAATATTTTTTAGTTTATTACTGATTTGATCTTTAATATGTTAAAAATAATCAGTCCAAATTTTCAATTTTAACCTATTTTTTTGGTTCTTTAAAGTTGATGAAAAATTTTTGATAAAGATTTATGAAAGTTTATAGTAAAATAAATTGAATATATTACCATAACTTTTAGCTCAATTACAAGTTTAAAATTGACATCTAGGCCAGTCAACAAAGGAAAAATTGCGGAAAAAATTTTGTTTTTTTAAAAGTTGAATTAAAATATGTATAATGACATACTAATAGTCCTCAAGATTGGAATTGAGCTTTTTTTTTAAAGCCTCGCAAAAGTTCAAAAATATGAGCTTTCTTAATTTTCTCAAAAAAAAATATTTAACTTACAAAAAAAAGTTTCGCACAAAAGTTGTTTAAAAGACAATTATAAATAAAAATATAATCTTATATTTTTTCATTTAAACAAATATTTTTCGAGTTACATTACATTTAATATGAGTAATAAAATTTATATTCCATTTTTTTCATTTTACGGTTACTTTTTATCATGTTATACTTACATTAGACACAATGTTATAAATGCATATGTGTGTATGTGTGAGTTTATTTATTTATTGTATCATTAAAGTGTAGTGTATATTGAGATACAACCGATAGAGTAGGTAATTGATTTGACGCTATATTATTTAAACCCAACTAAACGCTAAATTGTACATTCCGAAACAACAATCATATTATGTCAATTGCCACCGGAATTTCTGGTAATATTTTTCTTTTTCTTTGCCTTAATCCCAACTACTTGGGGTCGGCCACCCTTATCCTAAGCTTCCACTTGACACGATCTCCCACATGTCTACGCTCACATCAGCTGTCCTCATATCGCACTCAATAGCATCCCTCCATCTCTTTTTTGGTCTTCCTCTATCTCTTCTTCCTTCAACATCCTTCCCTATAACTGTTCTTACAGCTTTCGATTCTTCTTTCCTCATACCATGACTAAACAATCTAAGTCTATTTTCTGTCATCTTATCCACGATTGACGCAACACTTATACTTCCTCTTATATGCTCGTTTCTTATCCTATCATCTCTAGTCACTCCACTCATCCAACTAAGCATTCTCATCTCTGCTACACTTATTCTCTGCTCTACTTTCTTATCAACCGCCCAACACTATTAACCATACATCATAGCTGGCCTCACAATTTCATACTAAATTTAAAAACTATAATTAGTATTTATTCATATATTATATTTTAAAATCAAAGAACTACTAATCAGGATATAATTAAAGAAATAAGAGTTCATGTTGCTTTTAAAATATTTCACCAATTTCTCTAAAGGAAACACTATCTACAGATTTGCATCGAAGCGTTTCTTATGATAGTGATTTTAATCACTGTCAGATATCATCTATACTTGTCCCATCTATGCCTCGTCCACACTGTGCCTCGACCCCACTGTGCTACCGTTTTTTTTTATAGATGAATAGGCAAATGGAAATGCGCGACCGTGAATCGTCTAATAATAAAAATAGTCATAAATGTATTAGAAATATAAATTGAAAAATACACAACAAATTGGCGACAAATTCATTGATTATTTATAAATCGATGGATGGATATTTGAGAAAATGAATATTGAAGTCAATCGAGGCATGTAGTAAGAGCGACAAACTTAAATAATCGAATGAACAATATTAAAATATCATAAATATACAGTACAGTGAATATACTGCATGAGAAAACGTAACTCCGGCGACCAAATGGTAAGACGGAAAATATCTCTGAGTGACTCAATAGTCTGTCAGTTGTGTTCTTTCGTGTCCCACGGTTTAGAAATAAGTTTATAAGCAAACTGGCAACGTTGCTTTCATAAGGCTGTATAATTAAAAGGGACAGAACGCTTATGAATTCCATACGTTCCCAGTTGCTTATTAACTAACATTTTATTTGAATTTGTCGCCGTTTTTAAAATATTTGTTGCATCTGCTGGAAACGGTTGTTTGAATTTATCGCTCAAATAAACTAAAATTGTTGTTATTAATAGACCGTCCGGTTGAATTATTTTTTTATTTGTTATTTATCGCCCATTAATATAGTAAATAAATTGCATTTATAAAACATATGTGGTTTATAATGTCGGATTATTCAATTTTTGGTACAAATTATTCAAGCACCACTTTTATTACATTAAAGTAATTATTTTTTTGGCAGAAATATTTGTTATATTAAATAGGAGTTTTAAAATTTTTTTTTAATTTTATTGAAGACAAATATGGGTTGTAATTCTAATCAAATAATTCAATTTTTTATTATTTAATTAAGTTTTTTATTTATTCTATTTATAAATGAAGGATGTAAAATTTTAATTTGTTTTAAGTCTGCATCATTTAATATCTACAATAAAAATCCACCTCCCTAAAATTATTAAAAGCTTAGTTTTAATTTTATATAAGTATGCCAAATTTTGAGTCATTCCAATAATTGAATAAGTCGATTGGATTGGATTGGGTGTAATAATAATTTTTCATTATTTTTATAAATTATAAATGCATATAATTTATAACCTTGAATATTATATATTTAATTACTGCTCATAAATAGACATTTTAATGATCAGTCAATAAAAGTCGTAGTTATGATAACATATTAAAATTTTTTGATTAATTTTTTTCACTAGATTTTACTTCGTAGATAAAACATCAAATGATTTTTATTCGTTATTCTTATACCATTTTTAAAGAATACACCATGATTAATATGTTGCGATAAATTCATTTACTGAACATGTCTTAAAATATTAAGCTGGTTACACACGAAACGGTTTAGCCACTGGCAGTCGCGAATAGAATACCGCTTTACTAAAAAGCTTGTCTGTGCCTAGTTTTCACACGCGAGCGGTTTTATACCTGTATTTATTTTTGGCGCTAAATAAGATTCTAAATAGGTTAAATAAGAAAAAAAATATTTATCTAATAGTTCATAATAACATCTTGATCGAGTAATAAAACTAAAAAAGCTTTGATATAGGGACACAGCTCTCATGATGAATATTATCAACGTTTTTCATCTACTCCCATACTAAAATCTTTGGACCGTTGCTGTATTTTATTAGTATAATAATACTAAAACAACCTAAAGCCGCGATAATGATTACGTTTTGATTAACTATATATTGATAAAGGGTGCCATGTAAAACTGACACAAAATAAATGTAAGCCACACAATTTTTCAAGATTGAAAATTGACGTAGAGACGGTTATTCTCACTAATAAACAAATATTACACACAAAAAAGGAAACAAGAATAATGCACGAGATCTATAATTAATTAACCAGTTTCCAAAAGCGTAATTGGTTGACGTCGTGCGGAAAAAAATAATCGATATTCGAACGACGCATGTCATAAAATAAATTGGTTATCATTGCAATAATGTTCAAACTAAGAACTTGACATCGGTCAATATGGATCTAGACCTTTTATACCGAGCCTTGAGACTGCTAAGAACATCTAGTTTGGTCCAACACATGTGAGATTTTATTACACTCAACATGACAAAAATAATTATAGGATGGACGAAAATAATATTTTCAGCTGATTTACCAAAAGTCAATGAGCAAATGTGCCAAGAGATCAAATAGAATAAATTATATTAATATATTTAAATATGTCATTTAAGTTATTTTTAAAAAAACCTCGTGACAATACACGAATAGAGGAATCAATGAAATGGACGAAAATAAAGAAAAACGGGAATGCTGTACAAAGTTACCAAATTATATAATCATGATGTCCAGGCCGTAGCAAACAAATTAAATCTTCATCTATGGCTCGATCGCCAGGGCCAAAAGTAAAAGTTAGGCAGCCATGAGATGTTCAATATACGCAAATAATAAGTAGATGGTTAGAGACAAATTCGACGACCGGCCAAAACACATTTTGAACAAAATGGCCAGACCACTTGACGGCGACGACACACATGGACCGGAAGGGGAAACAAACGCCGACATCAGTGCATGCCTCGTTGACAGACATCTGGGACCGGTTGAATTATTAACAGTACTGAAGTGGTCAGCTGGGCGTTTTGTTATCACAATGATAATTTGTTATGAACGATTGTACAACGGATAAAATCATAGATCTTATAAACATGGATAGGACTTTCGTATCTTGTGTTTTCGCGGTCCTGANTCGTACCTTGTGTTTTCGCGGTCCTGAACTGATAAGAAATTGAGGCCGTTTGTTTACATTTCAATTATGATAAGAGCATAATATACTGTTTTAGCTTCGATGCGAAGCTGGAAAGTATTAATTTTACTATGATGTGTTTTTTTTGTGTCTGTTACCACTCTTTCTCAGCTCTCACCGAACTGATTTCTTTCAACGATACGTCAAAAGATCACAAATCGTATCTAGTCGAAAACATTACCCTCAATAAATGAAAAAATTTTCCTTGTTCCCCATAAATGGGGGAAATCTCCAAAAAAATTACAAATTTAAAAATCGCTAATTTTCGAAATTTTTTCAATTTTTTTTACTTAAAACCGCCATAACTTTTTTATAAATGACCAAATCAATATAATTTTTTTTTTATATAGATACGAGAGGTACTTACCTATTATTTTGTATATTTTTTTTGTAAATCTGATCCTTTACCTGCCTACAGGGGGGGATTCAAAATGACAACTTTTTCACAAAAAATTTACTTTTTCAACTTAACTTTTGAAAGTGTACCGGAAATACTGACACTTTTATATATATTTTAAATTAAAGCTAATGTAATATACTTTTTTATACAAAAAAAATTTTGTACTTTATTTTATCTTCAAGATGAAAATGACTACCAAATGCTATTTTTGTGTTAAAATTCTCGATTTTATTTTTTACATTTTTAACTTTATAATGCTATAACTTATTGAAAAGTGTATGGATCAATACAATGTTTTTATGAGAAATAATATTTATATCCCTTTTTCATTGGACATACTTTATCTTAATCAGAATATTAAGCATCAGAATATTATAGCAGATTATGTAGTTTGACAGAAATTAAGAATCTCACAAAACCAAGTCCTGATGTTGAGATAATCTGTAATGTAACAGAAAAAATATTTAAACAGTACACTAATCAAATCCATTCAAAAAATCCATACAATTTTTTTTTAATTAAAGTTAAAACTGAACTATATAGAAGTTTTAACATATTTTCTAAAGTAACTTGTGGAGATGATAATCACCGCAAATCAATTTTTTTTGCGCTCGAACCAAAATTCACGGTAACACGAATTGGAGTTTAGCGAAACTGTAAATCGAAACTGGAGTTTTTCGTCACGCGCATAAGTTGGACTTTGAACCGTGTGACTTTCTATCGTCCGTGTTTCGGTCGTTCTATCGATATTATTCACATCATTGCGCTCTCGTTATGTAATCAACCTGTTGATCACAATCAATTGACACATTGTCATCGTTTCATCTGATCTCGATTTATAAAAAGTGATTATTACCATAAGTTTTTTATATAAATATGTAATTTATATAGTTCATACATATATAGAATAATAATAATTCATATATAATTTATAAATAGTATTTTTTTTTTATAATCATGCCCGTTTTTTGACCACAGAATTTATTTTTTTATTTTTTCTAAACATGGTAAACCGGTGTGTTTTGTGCTACACCACCGTCGCCGACGGTGTCAGTTTACATAAGTATGTACACGTTAATTAATTGTTTTCGATTCGACGTCTCCTTCAGTCTGATGGACATTTGCGTTCGTAGGTTTCTGAGGGATACCCAAACGGCCGATTCCTGGCTACAGTTTGTTGTGGCTTGCGGCCGTAATCCGTCGGACGTAAATGTCCGCAATGCGTTTTTGTGTTACCGGCATTTTCTGCCCAGCGGCTACGTTAGCAGTACTGTGTGCAGGGTGCTCAACTGGAACGCCGTACCGTCTGTAAGTAATTGTCATAATAGTTAACAGTAATCGCTACAATTGTCTTCGATGATCTTGCTTTACCCTTTAAGATCAATGTCACGGAGCAACATAATGAGGCCGACTTAATAAATTTGTATAATTAATTTCATTAAGAATCGTAGTAACGGTTACGGAATGTGACGGTATTAATTCGTTCACTTTTTTTAATATTTCTTACAACGCGTGTATATGTATGTATACGTTGTAAGCAGAGGTGTCGTGGAGCGTATACGCGAGTATACGGCGTATACCCACTGTTTTCTTATTAGTGCATATACGTATTTATAAAATAGTTAAAGAGTATAGACTAAAGGATAAAATAAAAAGTAACACGTGGGTATCGAATATAGGTACGTTTGTCATAAAACACAAATTTTGAATAACTCTTATCAGTTTGTTTAATCTCTACAGTCATACCACATATAAACATATATTTAAAGTTATAAACACACAAATATGGCTCGAGACTATTATCATTTTAAAAATAGAATATAAATGTAAAACAAAACACTGTCAAAGTGTATAAATAAATATCAATAAAATAAATAGGATAATGTTTATCATTTCACGACAATTTTATTGACATTTGACAAAATTTAAAACATCGACCAGAAATTAACGATATAGCACATACTAAGTTGAAACTGAAAGTTATTGGGTTAACCTATAGCTGTTGAAATTGGTAATTTGTATTTTTCCGTAATAAACCGTTTACCAACCAATCTAGTATTTAATATATTACCTATAATGAATTAAGATAGTACTAACATGTACCTATTCACGTTTATTTCATTTATGATTTAACGATTTGAAAACAATAATTGTAAGATTATTTTATTACTGCATAAAGTTTATTGTTTATTTATAAAAAATATAACAGTATCTAATAATACACATATCGATTATATGACTATGAAATTTAATTTATGTAAGAACTTAGAAGTGTCAGTAAAAATATTCGAGTAATAGTTTGGAAGGAGCTAGGCCGTATCTGGGAGGGTTAAGAGTTTTAGTTGCATTATGTAATAATTAGAAAATACATATTTTTAACACAGTTAAAACATCACAATATTTGTATTCCGTCCCCCAAAACTATGTTATAGTTAAGGCCTTTGAAAAGTAGTGTGGGGGTGAAATTCCCCACGTTTCCTCATTTAGGTTTTTAACTTATCTATTGATCAAATTACGACTATATCACTGTTGATAATGTATAAAATTAAAAGTTCAACAAAATAATTGTGAAATATTGTATGTAGAAAATATAAATTGCAATGGGGGGGGGCGAAGCCCCCCACGTTATTATCTATTCATAATATAGGCGTATACCCATAAACATTTTTAGGACTACACCACTGGTTGTAAGTATCGCGTACACAACACGTCAGGTTCCGTACCCGAGTTATCCTGAATTGTAACAATTGAAGTTGGCACCGTGTAGATTGAAATTGTTCGCGCGGTGGACATTGATGTTGGTAATGCTGGACCGTTCGGAGGAAACGTCGTCGCTGGCGGTGTCGTTGCCAGTGGAAACGATTTGGTGAACATTATACGCATAATAATAATAATAAATTTACTTCATGAATTCTTTGCACTATTTCTCATTGAACATGTGCAGGTTATATATTTCGACGTATAACTCTTCTTCTACGACCTCTCCAAGCCATTTGTGGTACTCGTGGGACATTAACTGTCAATTCTAAAAATAGTTATAACAATAAATATAAGTTAATAAATGTTCAAATATACTTACTTTCTTGTTGTATTTTTTCCCGGTGTTCTTTTATTGCGTTCCCAAGAAGATTATTAATATTAGTAATAAAGTTATCCATAGATAGACATAGAGTTTTGGTTTGAACTGAAGTTCGACAAAGAGGACACACATTACTTTCTCTCAACCAAGTATTTAAACAAATTTCACAAAATGTATGGCTGCAATTAATTGTACACGCCTAAAAAAAAAAACAAATTTACATATTAAATTTTATATAAAATATTCATTTTCACAATTTATGACTAAATTTTATTTATTTCCCAATGATAATGAGATATTCAAAATCATTTTTTTAATCTAATTTATGGATGCGTAAAATTCAAGTTTTCTTGAACTAACATTTTGTCGTAATATGCACAATGCTCTGCATTACGCATCTTACATTTATCAATATTTAATATTTAATTAATAATATAATTATATTCAATATATCAATATTTAATACCAATTGTATACAAACAAATAATTAATTTATCTGTCATAACATATACACATTTGTACACTAGCTATTACATATGTATATACATGTTAAATGATTATTGTATACTATGCATCTTATCTTAAAATAATTATCATGTTATGTTCAAATTTTATACAATAAACTGAAAATCACTAAAAGCGCTGACGGCAACAAACCATGATGGGGGTAATTAAAAATAATATAACTCTACAACCCCGATAGAACCTCGTTGCTCCTGAATTGACACAATCCCCAAATATCCAACATTGGTCAAATAAAATACCCCAAACAACAACATTTTTGCTTATTTTTGTATTACTACAATTTTGAGATAAAATATGTTTTATTTAAACTTCAAACCCAAGTTCTAAAATAAAATAATTTTGCTGGTATAATTATGAAGTATGTGATTTTTTTTCAGTCTCTTAGAAGCTAATTTATCAAAAACAAAATTTAAAAACTTATTTAAATTTTGGATAAAAAAAGTTACTAAATTATAAAATAATAATATATAGACAATGACATAGTAATATTTTTCATTTTACCTAAATTGCATTTTATTTTCATAAACAAACAAATTTACTTTAAAATGTGACACATCATGGTAAAGTAATGTAAATGTAAGTAAATGAAGTAATTGTAAAATCGTTTTTTATCTTAGAAAATTAAGCAAATTTTATTTTAAATTGAAAATTTGTGTCTTCCTATGTTTAGCAATCATATTAATTGTTAGTTCAAAATAAAAATATGTACATTTACCTAAAGAAAAGCATTTTAAATTTCTTTACTAGATTTTACTATATGAATTTAACAATTGATTTTTAAACACATTTATTTACTTTTTTAACTAATAAAAAAAAATTTTCATCAGAAATTATTTTTTTAATTAAAATATTTTAGCTTTAATTTTCAGAAATTTTATTTATAATTCTAGAACTAGAAAGTTCAAAAAGTTTTCAGATCTCTACTATCACTTTATCACTATTATTTAACAATCTTAAAATTGATTAAAAAGTATTCCCTAATGCATTTTTTAACCAAAGTAACATAATAAATTTGTTAAGAACTTTTAACACGATGACGTGTTATATTTACACTATTAATGGATTTAAATGTAAAAATAATACCTTAACCATTAATTCATTACAAATTGAACATTGAAAATCACTTTCTAGATCATTATGAACCTTTTCTTTGATCGTTTCTTCAATTTTTGATATTTGATCTAGAAAAAAAATTCAAACAAAAAAATTAACTTCTCAAAAAAAAAAAAAAGATAATAATTAAAGTATGTTGAAGCTATTAAATGACTTAACAAAGTTTAACTTAAAAATTTTATCTAGAAAATAGAATTACAAATGATAATAATTTGATAAATACCTCTTTTTAATGTAATTTAACATTAGCCTTAATACAATTGAAAGTTTAGGAAAAGTAAGATAAATTAATTTTTTCAAAAATGTCTTAAATCCATAGGTGTTTTATTTTTTAATTAATATTTTTTCTTATCAAAATATTTAATATAAGTAATAAGATTTATTTATTTTTAAAACGTGATGAAGATGTTTCTAAAATATTTATAAAAATCAATTAAGACCACACATGACAATGCATTATAAATTATATTTTTCTTAGAGATTTGAATTATAATTGTTATAATATAAAAAAATGTAATGTTTTATAAACAAAAATGTATGTTTATATGTAACTGCTTTTGATAATTACTTAATAATCAATGACCATATGGACATGATATTGTTACCAATGTTTCTAATGTTTAATTTAATACAATAGTAATATATAAGCCCAAAATTAATTTTAACCCCATTACGTGAACTCCATCCAAAAAATAAATAAATGGAGTTCATAGGTTATTCACTTATATATTTTATACAGGTAAATAAGTCAGGTAAATAGATTAAGACATAGTATATTTCATGTTATATACTAAGAATATCATGCGACTTTGCTTAAACAAGTGTAAAATTAAATAAAGTAAGTTAATATATAATCACCTTGTTGTATTTTTAAAGTATTTTCGTAATATAATTCTTTTTTGTTAATTCATTATTAGCGAGTTTATTTTTAGTATAAGTTATGTAATGTATAATTATGTAAAACTTAAAACAATTATTCTTTCCAAAACTTATAAAATATATAGTAAAACAGTAATGAACATAAATTAATCGTGATTAAAATGAATAGTTTTTGTTAGTTTTGCTCTTGTTTTAATGCGTTCATTTCTTTAACTAACTTCGTGATACATTCTAACATCTAAATACTTCAACACTATTAAATTTATCATATTGTTTTTGTGGTCATTTTCAAACCAAGCATCATCGAGTATCTGATAGAATTAAATAAATTATGATTTATAAATGTAATATATGAATAAATATATATATATCTTATTATATAATAGAACAAGGAAAAAAAATCTTTTCTGGAATAATTACTTAGCGTGCTCGGAATTTCAAAATTTTTTTTTTCAACGAAAGTACTCGGTCACCAGACTCCGGGAAAATTATTGGCGAAGGTCGGAAAATTTTTGCCGCTAGCCCGCGAGCGTTTTAAAATTTCGACCGTTATCAAGAAAAACGCTCGCTGACGCCAGCGTTTTACGACTTAAGGTTTGAAATTTTCATCAGACCCGCCCAATGACATTCCTGAGATGTGATAAAAAAATCAATTCAATCCGTTCATTTTTCACCGTTTTACGAGCTTTTTTTTTTTTTAAGTCCACGTGCATGGTTGTATTATGCGCAGTGATTCATTTCTGCTGATATGTATTATGAAACTTAATTATATGGTGTATTATGTATTATTATTAGGACACTATGTTGCATTTGCCCTATTTTTATCAAGGAATGTTATATGTTATATATAAATTTCATGACGTTATAATTATTTAAGTTTGTACTTTCATTATAAGAACAGTACTAAGTACAGAGTTAATAATTTTCTTTTTTCTCATATATGATGTATGAGACTATGAGTTTATCTTTTGAATTGGGGTTCATCTATGATAACTATGATGTTCAACGTTAAATCGCAGTTACCAATATATTTATCAAAATTAAATTTTTATTTTTATTTTTAATATTAATTTAATTTTAATATTAATTTAAATTTAAATTTAGAGTGTGCCACTTATAATAACCTGCTAAATTTTTTTTTAATTATTCTATAATATAAACAATTATTATAATAAGATTATTAATAATTTTTGTGTATAACAAGGGTGTATTTAAGAGAGATTGGCCCTTCCTTGAACAAGCGCTATCAATATTTTTTTAGGCAACTTCTAATATATAAGGACCTAATGTCCTTTTTTTCATCATTACTTTAATTTTAGCAAAAAAATTTCTATAACATGTTTAACAAAGTAAAAAATATTAAATTTCCTCCCAAAATAATTTTTGAATAGGCCTAAAGGGAATACCTCATTAAGAGGCTTCAACCTTATACCCAATACATTTTACTATATTCTCTTTTTGAATTTTCCTGATTTTAATAATAACATTTTTAGATATAGTTTTCTATAGTTTTCACTGATTCTGAAGTAATATTTTTTCTAAAAAACACTTATCGTGCCCGGCGTAGCCGGGTACTTCTACCGGAATCAGTGGCCTACTTATGATGATGGCCCGAAGAGGCTTACGCGCCTCTTATATTATTTCTAAATATAAATATATAAATATTATTTCTCATAAAAATTGTATTGATCCATACACTTTTCAATAAGTTATAGCATTATAAAATTAAAAATGTAAAATATTGAGAATTTTCACACAAAAATAACATTCGGTAGCCATTTTCACTGTAAAGACAAAATAAAGTCCGAAATTTTTGAAAAAGTTATAGCAGTTTTAAGTAAAAAAAATTGAAAAAGTTTCGAAAATTAGCGATTTTAAAAAAATTTTTGGAGGTTTTCCCTATTTACGGGGAACGAGGGAAATTCTTTAAATTTTTGAAGGTAATGTCTTCGACTAGATACGATTTGTGATCTTTTGGCGTATCGTTGAAAGAAATCGGTTCGGTGAGAGCTAAGAAAAAGTGGTAAAAGACACAAAAAAAAAACACATAGTAAAATATCATTTATACTTGTCTCAATTATACCACGTCCATACTATGCCGTGATCTCCCTGTGTTGGGTTTTTTTTTAAATATTGAGATTGGTTATAACAGATTGACCAAAATGTACTAAATATTTATTTACTGTAATCATGTGCATATTTTTATTAAAAGCAGTGTATCTACAAATACTAGTTTAAAAGACTCCACTGTACTACCGTTTTTTTTATATATTATATAATCTTTTTAAAATACTAAAGACATATTATATATTATGCTATAATTTTATATGGCTATATTCAGTGCTCGAATTGGCCAAAAATAAGTAGGGGAGCTCAACTTAACAATTTGAAAACTGCGTCCCTAGCATTTTGAAGACTTTTTTTTTTTTTTACTCATTACTTTATTTAGTATTTATTAATAAATTATATTTCATTATCATACTATTTAAAAAAAAAAAAAGAGGTGGTATTTTCCACCGTCCTCATAAAAAAAAGTAGTTGGGGTGCGCAAAAAAATTTAAAAAAAACTATAGGAGCTACGTCCCCCTGCGTACCCTCCCCCCCCAATTCGAGCACTGGCTATATTTATAAATTTGATAAACATGATGATTTCACTATAATAATTAATTATTACAGTATATTACACTTTATTATTTTAGTGCATAACATATTTCAGTGGTCGGAGGTTGTTGTCACGCGAACACGCCGCAACGTATGGGCAAATGCATATACGTCATTAGTTATTATACAGTATCTTGGAATTATTTGGAAGTTCTCGTTAGTAGCGAATGATCCGTGTTTAAGAATATCTCTAACTTTCTATCTATATGTAATTAATTTTTTAATACAATGTGATATATTTCAATTATTATTTTTTATTAAACTTTATTGATTATTTATTATTTGTATTAAATATAATACTGTTACTATAGAAACTAAAAATGAAGTGATTTATGTAAAACATCCAACAATGAAATTAAGTTGGACGTTTTGTCTTTTTTACATGAGTAGTATTTATTGAAATCGATATAATATACAACTTCTTGTATAGTACTCAAGTTAAATTTTTAAATTAAATAATTTTTCTCTGAGACTTACTTTTATAATACATACATTTGTGTTGCTGTATGAACTAAATAACCAATTGAAGAATTAAGTACTTTAAAAGGGGGACTCTAACGTATTATATTATTATTAGACATATTAATATTTTCAAATAATAAACATTTTGAGCTTTCCTTTAAAAATAATAATTCAGACAAATTATTGTTTTTTATCTTTGGGAATTCTTTAATTTATATTTTAATCTTTAGGGTAGTATTTAAGATTTTGGCATGGGGTGCCCACATAAATATTGTACGCCTCCAATTTTTTTTAGAATTGTCCTTTAAATAATACTATTAAAAAAAATGTTAAGTACACATTTCTATTCCCATAATCTTTCGTCAAAATTATGAAGATAATCTTAAATTTAAAAATATCATACGTATCATAACAATCATTATTAGAATAACAAAAATTATTTTTTATTAATGGTATGTTGATAATTTTGTATATTTCGCTCTTTAATTTTTTTAATTTGAGATTAGCCCCTTTTGGGAGGGCTATTGCTTCTCTTAACCACCTTATAAGTATCTGTTGATCCTACACTTATGTAACATTCATTTGTTCTATAAAAATTGTCTATAATAATAATTTAATAATATTTATTATTATCATTATCAATATCATTGACTTTAACATAACTTTTAATTCTTTATTTTATGTTGAACATTAAACATTTTTTTGTTAAATATAAATGATAAAACAAATATTAGATATATAAATAAAATTTTGAACACATATTGAGTTAAAAACAATTAAAATATATGTATAATATTTTAATACATGATGGGAAAATACATTTTTGTGAAATTATTGTCATTTATAGTATACATATATTTATATATAACATGTCTAATTAAATTTGATTTTATATTATAGTGTTAGTTGATCATAAAATAATGGAAAAAATTACAATAAAAATAAAATATTTAATATTAAAATATACTCTTTCATTGTTATAAAATAATTTATTTATAAAAGTCTAGTATAATAATTTATGCTTAAAAATAAAAGTTAGGCCATTATAATAAAACTAATAGACTATTACTTATTTTTCACTTATTTTATCCTTATACGCAATTATAATTATTTTACAAAATAATTTTTTGGACAGAATTTGTTTACTAAAGTATGGACGGAATTTAACTTAATTAAAAAAAAATTGTTGAATCACCATATGTCATTTTATATGTTGTACAAAATATAAAAAGTTACATACAAAAATTGATATACTAAAGAACCTATAAAATTTTTAGGCTTAAGTCTAATTTATAATAGTTAAAATTTAACTTATTTTGTAAACTTATATAATAAAGGTCTATAATTAAATATTACATGATTTAAAGTTAATTTATAATACATAAAAACTATACTGTCTTAATAAAATAAAACGAAGTTCAAATAGAAATATTAATATAAAATCCTGCTAAAAAAATTATGGATCCTAGTAAAACAACTAAATTTGACTTTATTTCACTGCTTCCCATCTAAAAATTATTATTAATTTAATTAAGTACAATTACATTAAAATAATAATATTAATTAAAAAAAATTAAAAATCAAATATTTTCTACAAAAAAAAAAAATTCTTAAAGATTAGACAATTATTTTAACATGACAATGAACTATAACTTACTGTTATATAATAATTGCAACGATCTCCAAGACAACACTCAGCACATTTCCAATCTTGGTACCATAGATATGTGCAGTAAGGTATTGTTTTTGCTTTTACAGCTTCACAAGTAGCACGAGTAGCACATCGTTTGGATACATAGTATTGTTTTATACCTCCTTCTACCCAATAAGGAGGAGCTGAAAATATTTATTAATAATTCAATTAAGAATGAATATCAACCACAAGATACTTTCAAGGATCACTGGAATGACAACCCTGCAGACTCTAGTAATTAAGTGAGGACGGAAACACACACCATTAATCATACAGCCAGTCACTCCAAATTAAAATTGAAATTTTTGGGACTGGTAGGCATAGACTACCTGCTTCCAACCAGCTAACAGACCTCTCCAGCTCTACATGGCAAATGGGAGAGACTTGTCAACAAGATAGAATATGGAAAGGTAATGTTGACATTTTGGAACCTGTATGGCACCAGGTAAATCATAAAGTATATAGCCTAACAACAGTTCCAAGCTCTGCTGTGATGGACATTTCTCAGCTTTTTGTGGATTTCTTTGGCTTTAAAACCAGCAAAAAAATGAAAGTGAAGCCAACAAACAGAATTTTAGAGTTACAAGACAAACTGGTATTATTGCTGACTAAACTGATAAGAAGGTATAAAATTATTTTGTAAAAACAGGGAACTAATTAAAGGAATCCTGAACTAATATAAGTAAAAATAGCAAAGCTCTATAGAATTAATAGCACAGTAAACTTTAGTAAAAAAATAATTATTATCATGGAATTCTGTACGGGATGCATATGATAGACTATTAGACCTGAGTGCATGAACAGTGACTATGCCCTTTTAATAACCAAAACTAAATTAAGAATGAACACTATTATTATATAAAATTTTCATATCTTACATCCCCAGCTTATTTCTGATAAACACATGTCTTCTTCAGGCTCACACGTTTTTATTGTATTTAAGCATTTTTCATGATTTTGATCTTGGTTAGTACATACATAACATTCCAATGATTCACCTAATCAATTTATAAATTCATTACATTTTTAGTAAATAATAACATACAGAGTAATTGATTTATTATTATTACTACAATAAATTTTTCCTAAAATAATAATTAACATTTGCATGGGGGCTGTAAAAGTTTGAGTCTCCATAAAAACATTTAGGGGAAGGGGAGAGATAAAGAAATATACTAGAAAAGCTTTCTATCAAATTATTTATAAAAATTAATGAAAAAAGTATGGTCTTATAACTCTTTTAAGTCGTTAAAAATTTTTTAAGTTCATCCCATACCCCCTCCAAGGGTTACTAATTTTTTTTTAATAGCAATATATACATTTAACTACAAATATTACAAACCAAAACATCAGAAAAAATCTAACAAAGAAAATTATTGGGAGATAACTTTTGAACCAGTGGTTAAGTAATTATAAATATTTTGCATACCTGTGTTGGAGAACCCAGTTTTTGTAAGAAAATATTTAAAAAATAGCTATTTTGAAATTTTGAAAAAATTAAAAACTAAAAAACATTATTTTTTATAATAAAAATAATGACACATTAAACCATAATAGCTACATTTAATATCATATCTAAGTTTAAGAAACCAAGGCATAAACTAAAAATTGAGCCCCTTAAAAAGTATTGCTTGATGCATTTGTTATTTTCATTTAAAACGATATATTTTACACAATGATCAATATATTAAAATAAAACATACCACAACTTATGTTAAATTACAATATATATAAAAACATATAGTAAAATAAATACCTTCTAGTCTCTCTTATTAAACCGAAATAAAGCTCATTTTGAAAAAAAAAATAGTCAGAAATAGCTGATATATAATTTTTCAAACACTCAAAAAATGTAAAAATGTAAAAATCTCAAGGCAATGCACCTCATGTACCCTCGGTAAATCTGGCACTGGCTACAGTACCTGTGATTTCTTATTAAACTTGTTGCAAGTTAAAATGCGTTGATTTTTGGCGTTTTATGGTAAAATTAATGTATAAAAAATTAATAGAAAATTACAAATGAAGATTTTTACTTACAAAATTGAACAGCAATAAAAATTAAAAAAAGCGAGGAAAGTATTTTATACATGATATTTAAAATAATTTATAATTATAGAAAAATGATTCTTAAAAATTGTATTTGAGATAATTAAATTGAACAACTGCAGTTAAATTATGTTTTAATTTACTTAGATAATTTTTTTAAAAAACACTATCACACCCATATTTATAAGTATGAAGTTATAACCATTCATTATTCTATGGAACATAGTAAGCCTAGATGTATATATACATTTTGTTAACAGCTATGTTAAATTGAATCACTTATTATGATTAATTATAATTACTCTTTAAATAATTAAAATGAGTTTAAACTTCAATTACCAATCCAAAATGAATTTCTTTTCATTGGAGTCTAGATAAAATGACAATATTTTCTTGAATTATACATGTTATACAAAAAATATTCAAAAAATATTCAAAAAAAGAAAATTCATGTTTTTGTTTTAGTTGAAAAATGTATCACATTAATAAAAAATACTGAAAATTAAAATTTTATCAGTTGATTATTTTGTATAATATTCAGGCATAGATTTAAATTTTTTAATAGAAGTCACCAAATCATCAAACAACTTTACGACAGTTTTGTGCCTAAGGAAACTGTACATAACTATATTTTTACTGCTGTCATTATACAGAATGTTTAACTTATACTTTAAGGGACTTCATCCCTTCGTAACGTAAAAGTTACAACACTTAAAGTTTATTCATCCGATTATTTGAATTTATCGCTCTTACTACCTGGCTCAATAGACTTCAGTATTCATTTTCCCAAATATCTGTACATCTTTTTAAAAATAATCAATGAATTTGTTGCCGTTTTTTAATTTTAAATTCCATCTGCTGACAACGGTTGTTTAAATTGGTTATTCAAATATAGTATAGTGAACTAAAATTGTTGCTATTAATAGAAATCATATCTAGTCGAAGACATTACCCTCAAAAAATCAAAAATTTTTCCTTGTTTTCCGTAAAGGAGGCATATCTCAAAAAAAAAATACAAATTTATAAATCTGTAATTTTCGAAATTTTTTCAAGTTTTTTTACTGAAAACTGTCATAACTTTTTGAAATATAGATGAATATAATCAATTTATTTTTATAGATACATTAGGTATTTATTTGGTATATATATTTTTTTAATATGACCCTTCAACTGCCCATGGGGGGGTTTCTAAATGTCAACATCTTCATAAAAAGTAAACTTTTTCAACATAACTTTTGAAATTGTTTCAGAAATTCTGACACTTTTATATATATCTTTGATTGATTTTTTTAGTTAAAGTAAATCATTAAAATTAATTAAGTTCTAAATATTTAAATTGTATAATCTTTTTAAACACCAAAAGTTACTTGTAAATGATTACTGTGGTTTCTATTTAAATGATCTATTACAATAAAATACAAAATAAATTTTGAGTTTTTCTGGTAAAATTACAGTAAATAGTATCTATAAATTTTTCTATTTAATGATATAAATTTCAAACTTGAAGTTAAGCTTAAAGTCATGGTAACAAATTCAACTTTTTTTTTTGTAATAAACATTAAAAAAATCAACTTTAAAAGACCAAAAAAATAGGTGAAAAATAATATTTTGTACTGATTATTTTTAACATATTAAAAATCAAAATCAGTAATAATTTAAAAATATTTTTTTTTGTTTTTAATTATTCTTTTATATGTAAATACTCATTTTTTAATAATTAGTAATAATATCAAAACTTAGAAGTGATAGAAAAAGTCTAATTTCAGATTTGAAAATAGTGCGAAAAGTTGATATAGAAAAGTAAATTTTTGATTTCGATGATAGTTCCTTAAAGATCAATGTATTTATTCATAAGTAAAAAAAAAAAATTTATTATAAAGTATTGCATAAACATTTAATTTTTATACATGTTTGTTATAAAAGTGACAAAATATACTACTTTATCATTTTTTATTATTTCTTCGTAAAAATTACAATATTAAATAAAAATATTAATATCACACTATATTTAATTGCTATAATAAATGTTTATTGTATTAGTATACAATTAAGGAAATAGGAGTTGATGTTGCTTTTGTTTGAAATGGTCCATAGCTACAAGTATATTTTATCTGATAGTTATATTGTATCAGTAACAGCAATTACTATAGATATAGTAAACTGACTATCATTAATGAACATTGATATTAATATTAGCAACGGGGTAATTAGTAATAATCTGATCATTTATGATTATTTATGTATTTTAATCGTAAGAGATAATCAATACCAATCATTATAAAATAATAATAATCTGTAGTTTCTACTATTTTTTTAAATTTCCCATAAATTTTACTTTAAAAGGTGCAACTTATTATATTTTACTTAGAAAATAAACCGAATTGCTTCACAAATAATATGTGTTTTTCTTAATATAGCTGTTAGGATTTTTTCCCGTTCAGACGTAATGAACTGAAAGATTTTTGACATGGTGATATTTTTATATTAATTAAAATATTAAAAATAAAATCAAAGTGTTAATGAATTAATTGTTTAACATAAATTTTATTATGCTAATTAAATTCGTCAAAACTATTTTTATTATATGAAATATCCAATATGATAAAAATTTAATATTAATAAATCAACTAGAATTGATCACATGTAACTATTATTACTTAAAAATTCAGATATGGACTATTCCGGATTACTTTATCAGCTCTAGCATTAAGATTAATTTTATTCGTTTATTAATGTTTTTTTTTATTGTTTATATCTTATAATTTATAAGTATAAATTCCCAGTAAAACGTGTAAATGATCAAAATAATGACGTGAGCATAGCCTGACAACAGCATTTTATAGAAACTTTAATGCGCTATAGCTTTTTAACTATTTTTGAAAAACATTTTATTTTACCATATTCGTAATAAGTGTAAAAAAATAAATCGATTAAAAAAAATCGTCTTTAAGCTAAACTGCATTTACAACTTTTTTTAGTTTTGCATTTAGCTATAAAATTAAAAAATTGGTTTCTTATATTTTTTGTATATATTACATGCATATTTATGCGCATGTTTCCCAATATTTTTTGCATAAAAATCTGGACCTTGTATTCAAGAATTATTTAATCCGTTAAATTTTTGTTTCAATTAATATTTGTTCCAACACATTTTAGGGACAACTATTAATTGGAACAAAAGTTACCCACCCAAATTAATTTATATCTATTAATGCAATTAATGTCCTTATCAGTTTTTAAAAAAATATTTTACTTATTAGAAATGTAAGTATTAAAAATTAGGTCGTTGTTGATTTTTTTAAATTAAAAATTTCTTTTTTAGGGTAATTTTATCAACTTTTTCGATTTCGTTTATAATAATAATACTATATTTTTTAGAAATTATCTTGTTTTAATATTTTTTTGTTATTAATTATTCAATGTCGTCATCTAAATACAAAAACTATGATGTATGTGCTGATTGCAGCGGTCCAGGTATTTTTTTATAATTTTTTTTTCTTGGTTTAATTTTAGATTTAATATTTATACTTGATGTTTTTTTATTTAACATAACTATATAAAATATATAACTATATGAAATAACTTATCATAAAGTTAAAACTTTAATTGTTCAATAACTAGACAAGTCACTCTACAAAACCAAGTGAAATAAAATTAACTGATAAATTTTACTAATGTAATCACACAATCTTTATTTTTGAAGAAATTTTAGATTTTATGCTATATTCTAAGTATATTTTTCTATGCCACAAAAAAAATGTTTTTGCAATAGTTTTAGATTTCAACATTTGTTAAAAAAAAATTGTAAACTATTGAGTTAGTCAAATATTATAGATATTATAGATATCACATTTAATATGCCTGGTATATGTATATGTATACCTATATGTATAATTATATATTTTTTTTTTGTATAAAGATCCTACTTGGGTGATTGTTAATCGTGGATTATTTATTTGTGATGAATGCTGTAGTATACACCGTAGTTTAGGCCGTCATATTTCACAAATCAAAAGTTTAAACGCAGAATGGTGTTCTTCTACTCTAAGTGTAAGCAAGTTGAATAATATTTTAAAATTTATTAATTATAATTTTGTATTATTATTTTTTAATAGATGGTAAAGACTTTACATCAAGCTAATATTAATACTCTTTGGGAACATGCTTTAAGTGATAGTAAAAATCATAAGAAAAAACCTACTCCTAAAGATCCAATGTACAATAATTACTAAATAATTTCCTTATCCTTTTAAATTTTAACTTTTTTTGTTTATTTAGTAATATTAAGGAAGATTTTATTCGTACTAAACACCGACAACAAGCATTTATTTTAAAGAGTAGTGATACAAAGGAAGATTTAAATCAACAATTACATTCCAGTGTTCGAACAGCAAATTTAGAAACAAGTCTTAGAATATTAGCTCAAGGTGCTGATGCAAATTATTATCATCCTGTAAGTTTATAATATCAAACAATTCTTCTATCATTATACAGGGTGATTGATTAACTATGCCTCACAAATTATCTCTGTAAATATAAGTTATCTTTTTTTTTTTTTATGAAATATATTTTTATCTTGGGCTACTCAGTGAGTAAAATTACAGTTTTATGATCATCCCTTATGCTTTGAATCAGTATCAACTTTCAATTTTCAAGTGGTAACCCTATTTTTTTTTTATATATATATATATAATAAGATTAGATTTAGTTAAAAACAATTTTTTTTTATTTTATTCAATTAGCAGTGAGCTATGATTCATTAAAGTTTAGAGGACATGAGTATTACTCACATTGATTTATTAAAGACGCGCAAATTTTATGGGTCGTAAACCAATAACCGAGAATAATAGTATATCAATAATTTTTATTGGTACACTAAATATTTATGTTACTGTATTTACCTGACTACTGTTTTATTTGTTAAAGTAGTGGTATTGACGAGGATGTAAGACACAGAATTAAGTGCGAGTGGTTGAAGTGGAGAGAAGCGTCTGGTGTCTTATGCGATAAAAGAATTCCAATGAGGCTCAAAGGTAAATTCTACAAGACTGTAATAAGGCCAGCTATGATGTATGATTAAGAGTGTTGGGCGGTTGATAAGAAAGTAGAGCAGAGAATGAGTGCAGCAGAGATGAGAATGCTTAGATGGATGAGTGGAGTGACTAGAAAAGATAGAATAAGGAACGAGCATATAAGAGGGATGCTATTGAATGCTATTTGAGGACAGCTGATGTGATCGTAGATGATGTGGGAGATTGTGTCAAGTGGAAGTTTAGGATAAAGGTGGCCGACCCCAAGTAATTGAGATTAAGGCGAGGAAGAAGAAGAAGAAGAAGAAGATGAATAATATAAAAAACTGGGTTGCTATTTGAAAAACTAAGTTGATATTGACAAATATAACAAATAAAATAATTAAATATATGATAACACTAATATTTAAAAAAAAAAAAATTGTGAGGTATAGTTAGTCAATCACTCTGTATATAAAAAAAATTACAAAATGAATTTTTTTTAATTACATTAAATAAAACTTATTTTTAATCAATTGAAGTATTATTAATATTGTAAATGTGGTTAGGCAAATTATTAGAATTTTTTTTTTTTTTTTT